TTCTCTCTCATTTTTAAAATGTAGGTTTTAGTTAACCGTGGTTCGTCACGACCCTTCATCTCATTCTCACTATTGGCAGTCTTACAGTGAGCCAGGAGATCTTGTATATTAAAATAGATACATTGTATTGTATAAATAGATATTAAAATAAATAATGTGTGTCGAGCCTCAAGTTTGGGCGTATTGGTGAGTAAGTTATTGACAGCTGGCAACTCAAGGGTGTAGTCATCACATCAGGACTACATGAGTGACATCTGCCACCAGATGTAAGCCATACCAAACATATTGGGGAGCCCAGCTTTTGACTTACTGGTAGCTCAGGACTTAGTCGCTTTCATCGGATAAGTCAGACTCAGCACATGACAACTTGATCTAGGAAAACAATTTCAATTTTGTTTTCCATTAAGCACCAGACAGAAGTGATTGCATTAGATATGTGGCATGATACCATGCTGCTGGGTCATTTTCGTGTTGTCTATTGTCACTTGTGTCTATTGTCTGGTGTGTTTTGACTTTTGCTTTAGAACTGCCGCACCTGGGCATTCAGACAGTCTCTTTCGTCACGTCGGCGGATATCAGATTCCGCTGCCAGCTCGCCAGGTCTGCCGGATTTTCTCAAGTTTTGTCAGCTGTAATATTGAACTCTACTGACCATGCAGTTGTACAACTCCCAGTTGCCTTGCAGCGACGAAGAAGACGAAATATAGGCCCAGTGGCGAATGTTGGGGAGTCGTTCTTTGGTACTGCAATTGCTCGGAACAGTGACAGTTATCGGTGTCAATTGAACGTCGCTCGCATGGCTACGAATGGTCAACAGCAGGAACTGGCGACGTATGCAGTTACGTCTCTTCCTGTGGCAGTTACTGTTCGTGATTTACGTAAGCACATCGGAATCCACTGCCTCCCTCCCTGCCCCTCCCATAGACGCCTGTGCCATCGACCCCACTGGCCGACATGACCATGTGACTAGAATCCTTTGATCTCGCTTTTCTTTAATATGCATTATACCATGCAACGGCGAAAATGGAAAGTACCTCTCTAAGTTATCACGGCCCTTGCAGGCTAGCTGTACTGAAATTTCTCTATACTACACCCCATTACATGTGTTCGGAGGGTGCCGGTTCCTTTACCCCCAGACAGTGTCACCTCCCCCCCCCCCCCCCCCGGAGGGTGTCCCCTTTCCCCTGGACAGTGTCACCTTTACCCCCCCCCCCCAAGAGTGTCCCCCTTTCCCCAGGACGGTGTCACCTTTACCCCCACCCCCAGAGGGTGTCCCTTTCCCCAGGACAGTGTCACCTTTACCCCCCCCCCCCCGAGGGTGTCCCCTTTCCCCAGGACCGTTACCCCCCCCCCCCCTGAGGGGAACCCCTTTCCCCAGGACGGTGTCACCTCTCCCCCCTCCCGATGGTGCCCCCTTTCCCCAGGACAGTGTCACCTTAGGCCTTCAAGTATCTCTGGCGGGCATCCCTTTATCTCTGGAGGTTGTCCCTTTATCCCTGGTGGGTGTCACTTTAACCCATGGATGGCATCCCTGTACCGCAAGATGGTGTCCATTTACTCCAGCTGGGTGTCCCTTTACCCCAGGAGGGTGTCCCTTTACCCCAGGAGGGTGTCCCTTTACCCCAGGAGGGTGTCCCTTTACCCCAGGAGGGTGTCCCTTTACCCAGGAGGATGTCCCTTTACCCCAGGAGGGTGTCCCTTTACCCCAGGATGATGTCCCTTTACCCCAGGATGATGTCCCTTTACCCCAGGAGGGTGCCCCTTCACCCCAGCTGGGTGTTCATTTACCCTAGCTGGGCGTCCCTTTATCCCAGGAGTGTGTATATTTACCCCTGGGTGGTGTTTCATTATGTTACCCCAGGAGGGCTTCTTCTTTTTTTGCCAGGACGATGTCTCGTTACCCCAGGACGGTTTCCCTTAACCTCAGGAGGGTGCTCTATCAGTGTAGGAGATTATTCCGCCCTCGCACTCTCCTTTTCTTAGAGCCCTGCAATTCATACTGCTTTGGTTTGCTTCTACATTATAGTATTGTGCGGTCATCAATGATGGAGGCTGCCATGGCATGAGAAACTACTTCTTGTGAAGTAGACGCAGGCTGTCGCTTTAAGCGGAACAGACCCACTTTGGATAAACGTGTACACATTTTATAATGGGAAACAATGACTTTGTTAAGAACTCACTTTGGATAAACATGTACACATTTTATAATGGGAAACAATGACTTTGTTAAGAACTCAGACAATGGCAATGACTTTGTTGTTTACATTATGTATGGGTGCCATTTTGGCATGATGATAGGGTTAGACAGCCTGTAGACGAGATTCCTGCTCCGTGCAGAGGGCTCAGAAAAGCCAGAATGGATACTAGTAGTGGTCCAGAGGGACTGATGAGATGTTGTACATTCTCTTTTTGCATTTTCCTTCCTGTCCTCCTGGTTCACAGCCGTAACGGCAAGCATACAGCCAGCCATCATCCTGCCATCCAACAATGCCACACTAGTTTGCGATGTTGGCGACTTGAGAGCGGTGGATTCCGTAGATGTGGAGGGCGACTCGAGCCCGATGGGAACAGTTTACGCGGCCAACACAACTGACAATATCGGCGAGCTTGGAATAGCAAGAGTGGGTCTGTTCTTTGGTGCTACGACCACAGCAAGTAGTGTGCTGCTTCCACTGGTGAATGTCAGCATGGATCAGAATGTCACCTGCTCCGTGCGCTGGATAGGCTTGCGAACGGCAATGAGACAGACGGCTGCACTGTATGTAGCTAGAGGTACGTGCGTGTATATTCTCTTTGGGCCCATTTTTTTTGTCAATTGTCCACTTGTTGGGTAGAGGAGGGTCAGAGGTCTGCTGTAGACTGGTTTGAATTCACAAGTGTGAACTGCTTGAACTTTTCAGTTGTGTTCCCCGTATATGCCTCCCCCTCCTCTCCCCTCATACACACACACGCGCACACACACACACACACACACACACACACACACACACACACACACACACGCACGCACGCACGCACGCACGCACGCACGCACGCACGCACGCGCGCGCACGTACCCACCCCCACGCACACGCGAATACACACGCACACATGCACCAACACACACATACATACACACACATACACACACGCACATACACACACACACACACACACATACACACAAATCCCAAATCTCGCTCTTAAACTACTTTTTTGAGAGGAGCCGGGAATGACACGGAGTATTGCATGGAATTTTGCAGTGATTCTATTTTCAATTCCCAGTTTACAATAGTGAAAGCATGGTGATGACCTGTAGTTGACTAGTTGTTTGAACTGTGCTCCGCTGTGCTCTAAAAACTGAGTTATGTTGCCGTTTCTTTTGCCATTGTTTCAACTTGATACAGAGCCAGAAGGTGAAGTTAACTCTGTCAGTCCTGTGAGAGGCCTGGGACGGAGTGCTTTCAACGTAACATTCTCTGTCCTTGACGGTGGATTGCCGTTGCTGACAAGTTGTCAGCTGATGCTGACCGTGGGCACGAAGAACGTTTTTGAGACCCTGCCGTGTCCGACAGTGGGGAAAAGTGTCAGCTACGTAACGACGTCGGCGCTAGGGGAAAACACGCTCTACATGGTCAGAGTCAACTTGATGAATGGCTTTGTAGCAGGAGGGATCACTTTCCCGTCTGGTGTCTCCACAGGTGAGGATGAT